GTTTAATAATTTATATGTATATTCTGTGAAAAGCTTAGCTTTTCCTTTTCAAATATCATTTGAAATTAATGAAAGACATGAAAGATAAATCAATTATACTGAATGTCAAAAGATTTACAAATTCTGACTGTTTGTCCTTGTGTTGATGATGAGCTTGCTGTTATTGTAATATTTTTAAAATATACTATGTACTACAAAATTTTACCCTTTACATGTACTTCCTCAGGTTCAGTTACAGTCTGCAACACATTTTCAAGTTGTGTGTTCTAAATAGTATAATAATTAATAATATTCAAATAGCCCTATAGAGATATAACATATTGTTTTAAAAATATATTACTATGTTAAGTTTATGTCGACGAAGTAACAAATACACAAATTCTGTGCTCACTATCACCAAATATAGCTTGCTCCTCAACAATAGCCAAGACTTTTTTTTCTGCAATTCTATCTGGCTACTAGGACCACCACCAGCCTTGCTCTTGTGTGTATTATCTCCAGTCCCCCACAATTAAACACATATTTTGATAAAAAATAAGCTAATTAAGGAGTATTGACCCAGAGACCACCAAATTAGACAAATTATTTAAAAATAAATTACTTTACTCAGAATATACCTTAAAAACAAACCTTTTTCCATCGTTATCCAGATTTTGAAGACCCAGATCGATAGGAATTAATCTTAGTGGCAAGTTCATTCCATTGCTTATCAACAATTTAGATCTTGCCCCAAGTCCTACTTCTTTGGCTAATCCAAGTTGCCGAGCAAGAAATTCCAAGAGTTCTTCAAGTTGGTCGTTCGATATCGTCGTCTATTTGCCATATTTTTATATCTACTGAAAAAGAGATAAATTTTAATATTTATATTTCTAGCCGTAATAATTTAAAGCTGAATTAAAAGTAGTTGTTTACTCACTTCACTATTATTCCTCTTTTAAGTTGCGACTTCAAAATCCAAGCAAACACTAAGTTTTAACTCTCGTCTACTCTAGAGAGTATTGTATATATTTTGTTTGACCACTTGTTACAGCGATTACTAGAACAGCACTTGAAAGTTTAAACCATTAAAAAGACGCCGCACATGCTTTTGTTTTTCAATACACTTAAATAAAATTAGAAACATTTGTTTTAGAAACTTTCCACTTTTCATTTACTAACCTATTGCTATTGCTACTCGATGGCTTATTTGACAGTTCAGCGAGCAAAAAGTGCATATTTACGATCAGCGAACAATAATAATAAAATCGTAATACGAATTTTTTTGACGTAAAGCAATCGATCGCGCGTCGTCTGCACAATTTTAGCTGATCGCTTGCTGATCGCTTATTTTAGCTAATAAGGCCGCGGGACAGGTTCAACTGTCGAGCAACGTCACACTGCCGCATCCCCGACTGCAATAGGGCAATCACTTGAGCGGCTTCTTCAGAGCTGGTGTCCATCTTTACTTGTTCTTACTTGGGTTATTTGTTCACGTGTGTTCACTGCAAAGTCTAAATTACGACTGACCGATATTTCATCCTTTTTTTTTTATTTGGGCTGGATGAGCCACTGTTGGCCTTAGGGGCCTTTACAGATCCGACGGACTTGAGGTGGCCTGGCGCACAAGGCGCCTAGCCTGAACCTCTGCGTACTATTATTACGCGTTATGGTGACTAAGCTCGAGGGCTCCCGGGGGAGCCTCGGCTCGGGCCGTCACGCTATTATTATTACCGGTTTGGGAGGCAAGCTCTTAGGGCGCTTTGGCGGGCGCTCCATGGAGTGATCAGGTTCAAGGGTCCCCGAGAGGGGACCTCGGCTTGGGCTGTCACTCAGCACGCGTTTAGCATTCCGATTCGAGGGTGCCCGAGAGGGCCGGACCTCGGCTCGATCGGTAGCTATTATCTGACTGTGTAAGTGTGTAAATGATCGTGATACGAACCACGGCCGTCTATTTTGGGGCCGCCCGATTACCGACCGAGCTATTATAACAATTTCATCCAGATCGACCCTTTTATACCCTTTTTAGGTGGTGTAACTAGCGCGTTCTTACTAACGAGCATTTGACAGTATTTATTTTTGACGCTCTATAATGATAAATGTTTTAATGATTTCATGATTTTTTTATTAATAAATTAAAGCTATTCAAATACCCATTTCAAACATACTTTAGGAATAGGGAAATATATTTATGTGGGAAAGGTTAAACATAAAGGAAATGACTACGTGTTCACTCTAACTGTATTTATTCGCGACTAATAGGTAAACTTAATCGGCGGGCGCAGCCGCCTCTAATTACTCAACGTTGACACACACATACATATCCCTTACATATCCCTTACATGCATATAAGTACGTACATACAAAACTCAGTGGCTAGAGCGTCAGGCCGCGAATGCCGGAGACGTGGGTTCGTACCTACAGCGGCGACAATCTTTTCGCACCCATATTATAATGTTCTCTTAAGTGCAAAGATTAGCACTATAAACAATTTAAATTTCTAAAAAAAAAATATCTCTCGTTCGAATTATCGTTGTAAAACGATATTCGAAGTTGTTTGTATGCTGTAAAGGATATAACAATAGATGGCGCCAAGCATTGCTTCAAATGCTAAGAAAACAATGTAATGCGTTAAGATTTTCGTCGGTGTGGTAATCAGCCGTTTAGCTCAGTGGCTAGAGCGTCAGGCCGCGAATGCCGAAGACGTGGGTTCGATTCTCACAGCGGCGACAATCTTTTCGCACTTTTTCAACATATTTTAATGTTCAATCTTAAGTGCAAAGATTAGCACTATAAACAATTTAAAAGTCCAAAAGGTGTAATGATTGCCGTTTTCTCAATGTCATCGGATGCAACCGGAATAAAATGATACGCCCTATTCAAATCTAACTTGCTAAAAATAATCTTTTTTCCTGCTAATAAGTACTTAAAATCGTTAATACGTGGTATAGGGTAACGATCGGGTTTTGTTATCGCGTTCAATCGCCTATAATCTCCACATGGCCTAAGTTCTCCATTTTTCTTGGGTACCACATGTAACGGCCTTGCCCAAGGACTTTTGGAGGGCCTACAAATACCTAAGTCTAACATCTCCTGAAATATCGCCTTAACCTTTTTATACCTATCCGGAGGTAGTGGTCTCGCCTTCGCATGGACAGGTGGTCCTGAAGCTTCGATGTGATGACACACCGTATGCTTTGGAATATTTTTGTATGATACCGGACGGGTAATATCAGGATAATTAGATAAAATATCATGCCATACATTGTTATTAATCAACGTTTTAATAGATGATTCATACTCGCCGTGGCATAATATGACTGACGCAATAACATTCAAACGCGTAACCTGATCTACGAGTCGCCGTGGGCTTAAGTCAACTGACAATCTATAATGAGTTAAAAAATCTACTCCTATTATAGGTTGCTTAACAGCCGCCACAATGAAAGTCCATCGGAAAGATCTTCTTAAACTATACCAGAGCATAGATCACCACGCGGCCCCACTGCGGATTGGCGGACTTCACATATCTTCGAAATATTTTTTTTTTGCTATTATTTTGAAAAGATGCAGGTTTCCTCACGATGTTTTCCTTCACCGCCGAGCACGTGATAATTATATAACTCTATATAAACAATAATATTACTATAAAACTTAGAGATGCATGTTTGCGCCGCCCAAGTTACCAGATTAAACAATTATTGTGGGCTTATCATGACCACTTTATTGGTATCAGGAGTGTTAGGTACTACCAGGCTTTGCATAGAGGTTACAAAGTTTTTCTTGCGTACTCGGCACACGAAATCAATTATGTGGCATATCAATATCATATCATATAAAGATTATGTTTCTAAATCCTACAAAATTGTACAGCCTATACCGATTAATGCTCATTTATGTCGGTGCGCCATTCAAATATGTAAAACATTCTACCTCTACTCTTTCACTCAATATCTTATTTCTTATTTTATTTCAATGATACAAAATAAGGATGTTATGGATATGTGGATATTAAAGTTGCAGTACATCACTAGCACACAATTTAAATGAGATAAATTTGTTAATTTTATTTGTTCTTAGCCTGCTCTACTAACATATGGCTGCAAAGTATCATATTTAAGTACTTACCGGGCTTCATCCAAGGGAAATCTCGCCATAAACATTCTTTTTTCAAGATTTGAACGACATGCTCGATTTCCACAAATTTCGCACGTAATGAACCATTTTTTAGGCATTTTGAATTAAAATTACAAATCCGATCACCTGTCTCTAGTTTTCGTGAGAAATTATAGTGTAAACAATTTAAATCTACAAGGAAATAAGAATTTACATTCAAAATACGCGGTTCGAAATGAAGTTTTGACAAACAACATGGCACTTCTTGCATTGCAAGAAAGAGAAATCGCATTGAGGGATAGTGATAGGAATGTCCGCCATTATTTGCCGCGTAAAGTGCATAGAAAAATTTTTTGTTCCTAGTTTCGCCAGGGTGCCACGAACGAGTAACGTGTAGCTGTGTCTTAAAATGTATTAATTTAAATAAAGATGAAAATAGTAATAATATACTCAAAATAAAGATTTTATTTATCCCACGCCTACATGTATGTACTGCTGGTGTCCTTTTTAAATAAAATAAATAAAAAATGTAATAAGTAATATAAAATGCCAAATGGTGAGAAAATTGCCATCGGATATGCTCAAAAATATGCAGATAAGTGGGTAAAAGACAATGAATTTAAAGGTAGGTAGGTCATTCAGATCTTTTATAAATGAATGATACTTAGGGCGCTTTTAGTGTCACGCGGATTTGCTCACGCACGCGGGATTGGACCGCATGCGTAGCATCCGCAAAGAACAATTTCATATAGGTATCTATTGTAAAGCGTGATAAACGCACGCGGGACGCGGGGCGCTGTGCGGGGCGTCACCCCGGTGCGGGGTATCCGCATGCGTAAGCGCTGCCTACAACTTCAGTGCCCATTTTAGAGTCGAGCGGGGCGCACGCGCCGTATTGTACTACCGAAATGAAAATCGATACAGAACGAGTAATCATTGAAGTTCATCTGCGGCCCGTTTTGTGGGATAAACGCAATGAATTATACAAAAACAGGGACGCGAGGGAGGCTGCATGGAGAGATATTTTGAAGGAATTGGCACCTAACTACGAAAATTTGAGCGAAGAGGAAAGAAAAGAGGCGGGTATGTGTTTGGTTCATTATTTTATTTTATACAAGCATCATTACTTTATTAATATAAGCATAATTATTTAATTCACAAATAACATCAAAAACCTTCTAAAACCTTTTGAGTTTAGTTAATTAATTATATATCGGTGTTGCCAGGAGACTTTTCCTTCATTGATAAAGTAATCTGCAAATATATCTCTGATATTACTTGCCGACGTATTACTACTTTCAGTCTGCTGCCTGGGTAGTGGTCCCGTAAAACCATTTGTGACAAATGTATGGCTGACCTTGTAGTCATCCCGTTTCCTTATGAAATTGTGAAGTACACATGCCGTCTTGACTATTAATTGTGCTAGATCTAACTTGACATTCATGGATCTGTGAAATATTCTAAATTTATTTGACATAATTCCAAAAGTGCATTCTATGTACCTTCTAGCTCTGGACAGACGGTAATTAAATATTTTCTTTTTGTAAGGTAAATTATCACGAGCATAAGGCCGCATCACATGTGATGATAAACCAAATGCCTCGTCTCCCACTATCACGAACGGCAACTTTGCTCTTACACTAGATGGATAAGCTACTTCGGGGCAAATAATAGGCAACTCTTGCGGGTCAGGGATACCCAACGTGTTACTTTCCAGTTTCGTATACAATTGACTCCTTCTAAAGATGGTTGAATCGGCGTTGCTTCCACTGGTACCGACATTAATATATGTAAAATTATAATCAGCATCACACATTGCGAGGAGCACTACAGAATAATATTTCTTATAATTAAAATATAGTGATCCACTGTGCGGCGGCCGAATCACTCTTATATGTTTTCCATCAATTGCACCCAAGCAATTAGGAAAATTTGTATATGTGAGAAATCCCTCTGCGATTTCTTTCCATTTGATCCCATTAAGCTGTGGAATACATTCAGACTTTAGTTCAATCCATATTATGTAACAAACTTGTCTTACTATTTCGCTAATTGTTGCAATTCCAATCACATAGGAATAGTGTAGATCAGTGAATGTATTACCAGTTGCCAAATATCTGAAAACAAAAACAATATATTAATAATATGATAACATAATATATTAATAATGCTGACATCAGACATAAGACAGCATGCACCGCTCGAATTTTACTTCAGAAGAAAAATAAATACCCTTAAGGTGAAAGGGCACGGAAGTAGCTAGCGCTAGAAGTTTTTAATTCGTTTTAACTACAGTACTATAGCTACGTTAGATTTCTATGATTTGCCGAAAATTTTATCATAGGGGGGTATTTATGCAGTTATGATTTCATATGAAAAGTTCGAAGTATAGTTATGTATCTCATATCTGCTAAAAGTGGCCACTTTTAGCAGATTTGAGACACATAACTATGCTGTAAATATTTTATAAGAAATCTTCTCTATATAAATTAACCCCTATGGTAAAATTTCCGGCAAATGAAAGGAATCTAATAAATATATATAATATAATATAATGAAATATCGTTTATTTCAGGCAATATTTACATTACAAGATGTCCTCCTTCCGGAAGTTTTCACCTTAATTTTGATGATGGCAAATTTTACTGTAACAAATAAACAAATTGCCCGATTCAATCCGGTGTTTTTCCAAAAATCCTTAAATGAAGTTCTAATTATTTTTGTAAAAAATGAATTATTTCGTCGATGTCTGCGCCGCGCCGCCCCGGCCGCGCCGTCTGCGTCTAGTATAAGATTCACTTTGCGCTATCGTTCGCGGCGAAATTGACCGGCCTGCGCCGGCCCGCCGTTTGCGTTGCGCCTAAGGGTACTTTTCCTTCAACTGCGGCCTTATTTTTCCACTCTGTATAGGTATATATATATTGCTTGATTTATCTAATGCTTCATGAGACAGTGTAAAGTTGACAACATGTGTGAATTAAGGAGGGCCTTTAATCGAATGCAGTTAAATTTCCAACTAATATCAGATTTGTACACACGGCCACAGATCAAGCTTCCCAAAACCAGTATAAACAGGACTCATGCGTTGTTTATTATCGTAGACGACTCGGCGCCCGGCGAGGCCCTAGCAAGTTCCGTTTATTGGTACTGGTTTTGGGTAACTTGATCTGAAACTGTGTGTACTTTTGCCACTTACTTATTATATTTTGTCATTTCAGACAAGAAAATACAACAACGCTGGCGAACAGCAAGGGACACTTACCAGAAAGACAAGATATCTGAAAAAAATCAGCCATCCGGCTCTGGGAGTAAGAAGAAGAAGAAGAAATATTCTTACTATGACATTTTGACTTTCTTAGACAGTACAACGGAAACTGCTGGAGAAGAGTCACTCTGTGAAGAAATGTCTGAACAAAGTAATTTAGAAACACCTAATGAGTCCACGCAACCAGATACTTCACGTCAAGAAAGTTCTCACCCAACATCAAAACAAAAACAAGTAAAATCTAAAAAGCAAGCACCATCTGAATTTGAGGCACAGTTATTAGAATGCTTAAAGTCTAATCAACTGGAGCTAGAAAGTGAGGATTTGGCTTTCTTTCAGTCTCTGCAGCCTTCATTAAAAAGATTCACTAGATATCAAAAACTAATGTTCAGAACAAAAGTGTTAAATATAGTTATGGAAATGGAAAGTCAAACACAACCTGCATACTACAGTCCCATACCTACAACAAGTTCTAGTGCTTTTACTGAGCTTGACAGTTTGTCACCGATAAATCAAGATTACCAAACCAATAGTATAATCCAGGATACTTCGAGTCTTAACGACAATGCTATTAGTTCTGCTGCAGTGAATGACAATGAAACTCTTATTTCGACTGAAAGCGGCCTGTTTAATATCACGTCTTATGACGTAATTTATACCCCAGCAACAACATCATCTACAGGCGAAAGTAATGTCAACGCTCAGGATACAAATTTACAAAGAAATGAATGATGTAAAATTTGATTTTTTAATTTATGAATAAAACTCTTTTTATTAAAATGAGTACGATTAACTTTTTTTCTCCAGTTTCTCTCTAATTGTTTGTTTAGTCATATGAGTGCGGTTGTACACACGGCACAGATCAAGTTACTCAAATCCAGTATAAGCGGGACTCCGACGGGTTACCTAAGTATGATAATACGCAAGGCGCGAGTTCCATTTATGCTGGTTTTGGGTAACTTGATCTGTGGCCATGTGTACTTTATCAGATAAAAAAAAGGATTGTGTATGTAGGTTGAACGTACCAATCCCAAACCAATTAAGGGCTTTTTTTGACTTTAAATTACTGTCATGTGCAAACCTATAACTTTTATCTATATTATAATAAGTAGCGTGTGATGAAAGGTAGGAATGATTCCACTTTAATGGCGACATTTTATGAGTGAAATAATCTTATTTAATGAAATTTCAACATGAAATTGAATGAAATTATGAACAATGAAATTTCAGAGTACATGACAAAATTTTTTTTTGCACATGTAAATTTACACATGACAGTAATTTGAAGTCAAAAAACGTTTATCCTACCTGTTCAAATCCCTTTCCACTAAATCATAGCAGGAAATTAAATATTTAAAATTTAAAACTTACCTTAATGTAATAGCGAGCCTCTCAATCGGTTGTATTGTAATCCTTCGTAAACTGCTTTTTTGTAGCTTATTCTCAATTTTACACAACAGTTCATCAAAAGAACGAATGGACATTCGAAAGTAATTTTTAAATTTACGTTCATTATTTTGTAGTTTTCCAAAGCGTGTAACAAACGCCCCAGCAAGAAGCCTATTTTCAAGAAAGGGATCAACATGTACTCTTGTCTTCTTGTTTCGTCGTTTGTAAAGTATGTAAGCGACACATATTCTTCTGACATTGATCATTTTTGAACACGTCTATACCGTTACGCAGCCCGTAGAAAACTGAAACTCATGCTGCGTATGATCCGCAGCGTGAAATTTTACGCATGCGGTCCAATCCCGCGTGCGTGAGCAAATCCGCGTGACACTAAAAGCGCCCTTAGACCCATTATTTATTGTCTGATTCTTAAAAATAGTGAAAATGATTATAACGTCACAATAAAATGTATTTAATTCGTATAAATATTTTTCAAGTCAATGAACAATGTTCAAGGTCAAGTATATTAATTAAGTAAATTTTTAAATAAAACCGTTTTGATTACCCATATAATTAAATTTTTCGATAATTATTCTAGCTTGTTAGATAATTTAAAAAAGGTAACTTTTTTCACTTAGGAAGTTTTTTTAAAACAGTGGATTTAAGGTTTTTCAATTTTTTAGGAGTTTTTTTTTTCAACAGTTGGTAACACTGAACTGCGGCCGGTTATTATTTATTTATTTTATTCGGTTATCTTTCATTATTCATCATTTTATTTTGTTATACGTTACGGCAAAACATTAATATTTTATTTACAGGTAAAGACTACTACGCAAATTTGCATTCTTTTCCTCACCTGTAAATGATAGTGAAAGATTTAAAACATGGATTCAATCGATTGGAGGAAATTTACTGTTTTTGGATAGCCAAAAGTAATTTAACGTAAATAATTTACTAAACGGCACCAGACTCGAAATCATTTATAACAAAGATTATAAAAAATTTAGCGAGTGCATATTATAAAAAAACAAAATAAGGTTCGCAAAACATATTTTCGTATTTTATTTACTTTATCCAAAAATAACATCTAGAATGCTTATATCCAATTACAGTTTTCTATACAATGTTATCAAATATAAATTAAATAAATTTCATGTACACTATATAGAAAACTGTAGTCGAATACAGCTCTCAACTGTAAAAACAAAATGGTTAATTAGTGTAGGTTATATACATCTGAACTTGTAGTTCGGTCCTGCATCAAGAGATGGCGCAGTCTCAAGGTGGCGGTTCGCGCCGCGACAGAGACAAGCGACCGTGATAGGAGACCGAGACCGCAGACCGCGACAAGTGTCCCGGTCTCTTCTGCATGTACTGTAGGTCGAGTCCGAGACCGGAGACCGCGACAAGTGTCTCAGTCTCTTCGCGACCGAGACGTCAGTCAGTATCGGAGAGTCTGTCGATGTAGTCAGTTGTGTTTGTGTCATGATGGAAAACCATGTAGTAGAAGTCCTATTGGAGGAAGAAGAAGACGATGATTTGCTCTTATTCTATTATTACAAATACAAAACTAAAAGAAGATTACCTATTAAGGAATTATGTTTAACTAGAGGCTAAGAAGGATCATTTTCGCTATTAGTGAACAAGCACCCGATGTTTGATGAAGATATATTCAGGAAGTATTTTCGGCTGAATAAAACACAGTTTGATTACGTATTATATTTATTAAAAAAACAATGCGTGAAAAAGGAAGAATATCATTGAAAGAAAAATTAGCACTAACTCTAAGGTAAGTTTGTCAAATTATGGATCATCACCAGAACAATTTGGTCGAATTCATCGTTGAACATGTTTCGAAATGGTTCACTCGAAATATTTGGTAATTGGCGAGATGATAAATCAATCGATTCACTCTGTGTTCGGCGTTCTGATGAAGTTGCACTTATTGGAGAATATGAATTGTATGATGAATTTGAAATATATGGTAATTGACGACATGATAAATCACTCTGTGTATGGTGTCCTGGTGAAGCTGCACTTGTTGGAGAATATGAATTGTGGGATGAACTTGTATAGGGGTGTTCACTATGACTGTCGATATCTCCGATCTCATACTTAGAGACAATACTAAAGATTTCAGTTTTTGCCATTGCTCTTGAACGCGCGCTCAATTTTCTTAGCATGATTTCGATATGTTTTGTAAATGTCGATATATCATCAGACTTTAATGACTCCAGTTTACTATTTCGGTTTTCATGCCTGTCCTTCAAAAATTTAATAAATTCATCTTCTTGTTATCTTTTTCTCTTTGTATTCTTGCTAGTTGGTTTTTCAGAACTTTTACTTGGTGGTATAGATCTTTCTTGTGTAGATTTAGAAGTTACTGGTACGGGCTCTACTAATTCCCTTGAAAGAGTATTATGTACTGGTGCATCTGCGACCAGGGGAGGAGTATCTTCAGGTCCAACTTCTGGGGAGGTATTCTTGTTCTACACTGGTGGAGCTTTGCTGTTTTTGTTCTACATTGGAGAAGCTTTGCCGTTCTGATGGTGTGTTTTCTAAAAATCTTAAACGTTCATAAAATTGCCACTTTGAATTTTAGCTGGTGCTGCAAATCTCGTGGAAGTTTTTTGTTTGCACTTATATCTGTTGTAGGAGTCCCTGATTAGTTTCCATTTTTTACGGCATTCCGAATCTGTAATATATAAAAGTGTATAAATATTAAAAAATATTGTAACTTAAATTATCTTTACAACAGAATATTATAATACAATTTAAAACTTAAAATAAGAGATCCGGAATAGCAAAGGAATAGCGGAATGGCGAATAGAAATATATACCCTCATCTGTTATTGGACTATAACAAAACTTTTATGTTATAATAAACACATTAATGCATTGTACATAGGTTGCCTAGCTAAATCGCGGCCAAAGCTGTTAATTTATTATAAGAATGTTTTAGTGCCAATTTTAATGCCTATTCCAAAAGAAAGTGATTTTAGGCTTATATCTAACGGCTTTTGGGACAAATGACAATTCCCCAATTGCACAGGTGCTATTGACGGGAAGCACGTGAGAATGAGAGCCCCTGAAAATAGTGGATCATTGTATTTCAATTATAAGGAATTTTACTCGATTGTTCTTTCGGCTATTGTTGATCATAATTACAAGTTCATTGCAGTAGACGTTGGCTCTTACGGCAAAGAAGGTGATAGTGGAATATTCCAAAAGTCTACAATGGGAATAAAATCATGAAAAATGAATTTAATTTTCCAGAACCAAAAAATCTACCAAATTCGAACATAATATTACCACATTTTTTAGTTGTAGATGAAGCATTTAGTCTTGATACGTTTATGATGAAGCCTTACGCTAGAAAAGTTTCAAAAAACGATTTAAGCAAAGAAATATTTAACTACCGCCTTTGTCGTGCTAGACGAGTATCGGAAAACGCGTTTGGTTTGCTGTCTTAGGTGTTTAGAATATTTTACACTCCTATCGGAATAGCGCCAGAAACATGCACTGACATAACCTTAGTTGCCTTGCATAACCTATTAAGAGATGGATTTTTGGAATCTGCTCAAACGCCTGTACATTAATGGAATCAAGAAGAAAATTTACCTACAAATTTCGTTTCATTACGTGGAACTGGAGGGTTTTCGAACAGCAACGGGCTAAATATTAGAGCAAAATTAACTGATTACTTTACGTCACAGCAAGGAGCAGTAGACTGGCAAGAACAATATGTCACACGTTTGGTTTGCTTAAGTTGATTCCACCTGTTTCCATTCGCATATTGGGTTTTAGCAAAATAAAAAATAAAAATAACTCACCTGTTTTATTTATGATTTCAGCTATGCTCTCCCAAATATTATCCTTCAAATTTTCGTCTCTGTAGGAGTCTAGTTGTGCATCGTATATCGGAGGGTGCTGTCTGATCAATTCAATCAGTGTTTCACAGTCTTCGTCGGAAAAAGTATTCATTTTTAAACACTAGACACATGTGCTTTTTGAGCGCGACACGAGACACTACTGCAAAGAGAATGTAAGCACTACTGGTCCGGGGCAGCGACGGCCTCGCTGTCTCCTGTCTCGCGTCTCTGTCTCCTGTCTCTGTCTCGCTCGCGAACTGTCGTTTATACATTGCCTAACGTCAAGTGACGGTCGCGGTCTTCGGTCGCGATCTCCTGTGTCGGTCGCTTGTCTCTGTCGCGGCGCGAACCGCCACCTTCACGAGGAGACTGATGACTCTATATCAATAATGTACTGTTTGTAGAAAATTATATGTCTGGCAGAGCTGGTGTAGTCGAATACTGTTGTAATTGTTTAGTTGGTTGACAAACCATGGGATGTTGCACTCATGTTATGACTTTAGTGTGGTACTTCAGATAGATCAAGAAAATATCTCTGTTCTAGCAGAATTTCTAGATAACATGGTTATAAGACATTTAAGTGAAGATGATGATAATTAAATAAACCATTCCAATATAACATAGTGTTTTATTTTTTCCGCGTTTTATTCATCAGGTATTATAATTATCGTTTATTGTGTATTATAGTGCAGGCCAATGAAATGTGTAGGGCAGATAAATGATCAATTTTAACAATACAAGAGCAAGTTTTATCTAAATATGGTTTTTTTTTTATTAAACATCTACATAGTAAGTACTTATGTGAGCTGTTGAAACCACAGATAATGCTCGTCACTCAACGTAAAAAGTAAATTTTTTATAATTTTTGGATTTCGCATACCATAAATCGTAAAAATGACTAAATGACATTAATATACTAACTTAAAGGTAGTTTTTCTTCTATACCTTGTACATAAAACTTTCATTATTAGGTTTTTAAATGTATGGGAAGTGGGCATTGTTCTTTAAAATGCCTATATTTGAATCTTTAACCTCCTTTATAAAAGATCAAAGCAAGGTATTATCCCGCTCGCAATTAAAGCTAAGCCGTCAACCCGCTAAACGTAACATCATCTATATCTATATTATCTATTATATATATTATAAAGAAGAAAGATTTGATTGTTTGTATGTATTGAATAGGCTCCGAAACTACTGAACTGATTTGAAAAATTCTTTCACTGTTGGGAAGCTACATTATCCCCGGTTGATATAGGCTATATTATATTTTTTTAAAAAATAGGGATCCTTACTAAAACTTCAATAATGTAACCAAAAGTGTACAAAAGTTACTTAAAATATTCTTTACATCGCGTGCGCTGCGAAAACTATTGATGATAGAATAAAGTAATTGTAACTCGCACCCCCCCTTTATTGTGTATATATAATTATAACTTATATATTTTTTCCCCCATTATATGAATAAATCATATAACATCATTACGTGACCAGGATAAATTATTGATCTTTCTAAAGGTAATAATTAGCCGTATGAAATATTATTGTGATCGTCATGTTCGGTAGGACCGCATTTTACGTTGTGTTTATTTAGTAACTTGATTCTTTTAGGTGGATCTTGGATAGATAAATATTCACTAGTTGTGGTATAAGCCAGAGATAATGCTAGATTGCTTTCTTATTAACTAATCCCGACTCGCTTGAGACGGGCTCAGAGTATATAGTATACTCCCTCTCACGCTTGTAAAGGGCTCACAATATAATTTTTAAACTAATATCCCTTCTCTCTTGAAAAGGGCTCACATCAATTTCACATACCCGATACAAGTCAACAGCTCCCCCACATTTTAAAAAAATGTAGGGAAGGCACACGGCTCCATGAAAACACTCCCCAACGCCGTGTGCGGTGAGCGCCAACCAACATATTGCGCCCCCCTCCAGAAGAGGGACAAAAAGTTGGGGAAAGGACCGAAGTCCATTGCAAAGCTGTTTTACCAGCATAAAGAGGGCTTGGCCCCTTGGCAGTGCGTAAGCACAAACTTTGACCGAAGTCGCGCATGTCAATGCGTGTAAACGTCATACAAGCCGACGACAAATCCAGTCTTTGTGAATGTACGTCAATACGGTTTTGGGCATGTGTTAAAGATCAGGCACTCTGGCCCTATGATATAATAAGCCCTCCGTAAGCGCCACCACTTTTGCCAGATCGCCGCGACTGCAGACGTGATTGTTAGTGTTTTGGCATCACCACCATTAAAAAGGTTAGCACGACATTTCGTCGCAGAGCGCGTTATGAGTCACTGCTCACCCCAAGGGTATGGTTAAAACGTTGCACGGCATCGCCGCAGCCTTGAGAGGTTTTCTCCCGCCAGCTACCATCCACATGAGGTAAACGCATATGCTCCACCAACCATTGAAATAGTCAGATATAGCCATAGTTGTGATTTTTATGTTAAGCCATCAGAAGGGTTTATAATTGGCAACATATATTTATTTGTCAGTGTCTCTGACGTTGAGTATAGTGTATTTTCGATCAAGTTTGTCTCACCCACCAGCAAGTTGCCATTATTCGTTCCAACGGTGGGAACTTTACTGAGATTCGTTAATAATGATAAAACGTATAAAGAGGTCAGACAGTCTGCAGTTCCGTCATCAGGAACCCGACTTGGACAAATCTACTGAGATGTGCATCAAACCGAGACGCAGACTCGGCCATTATGAATAGCGTCGTCTCCCAAGCAAATGTCGTGAGACGCAATGTCACTAAATGCAACATGCATCAATACAACTATCGCAGGTCAACACGCCAACATACAGCCTATCCGCATAAACAGCAGACATCATCACCTCGAACCTCCGTCAACCAGAATCATACGATGCAATGATATTAGGTGCAGATCACCCCGCAAATACCACAAGACGCAGTACTGCATATAGCCGCACGCATCAATGTGACTATCGCGTAGGTGTCACACCCTCACACCACACCAATATAACTCCAATCAACTTCGGCTCCAAAGTTTAGAATATACTCGGAACACACGAAGTGTCCAAACATACTCTTTCACGATCCGAATGATAGTCGACGTATCATAGCGTAAGCACTAAGACGCCAACCACCAACGGACCCCCACCCAAGCCAAGTAATAGCCAACGTATCATAGTGGAATACACTAAGACGCAAGCCACCACCAGACTACCCAAAGTCGACCGGTCAAAGATGATCAGTCGACGTATCATAGTGCAACACACTACCGCCAAACTCTTACTATGCCGAATGACAGCCAACGTATCATAGTGATGGTCACTAAGACGCCAACTACCACCAGCTATCGATGATATGTCCACCACTGAAGACATATCCATTCATGGTTCCACGTTTACCGTAGACCATGTCGTCGTACAGAAGTACCACGCAACTCCGTAGTAATATCTCTTATAAAGTCCCAAGTCATTCATTGCTCTTCATTATATTTATATATTTATTATTTTTTTCTCTGAGCCTTCACATATTATCACTTTTATTCATTAGACCTTACTTCCATATGATCTTGGTATGGGACGTTCATACAATGTACTTTCACCATAGTACTAAGAGTCGCGATCGACCTCTGTACTTATATATGTACGATCATACAATTGTGTCCCCACACGGTACATAATACTTCCCTTAGAAATCACTAAGTATGGAATTGTATTTAATTGACATAATAGTGATCGTATCTTGCTATATTTTTAATAAATATCCTTTTTTGAGTATTTTAAGTGATTTTTAACTATTTTTTTATCAATTTTTGGTAATATCATTTTCTCATACTAACACTTATATTTCTTAAATTTAAGTATATATTATTAACTTTTATTGTGATTAAACGTTCTTAAACGTTTTATTTTCATCTTAATTGATCTTTATTATGATTAATTAATAATAATATTTATTTTTATTAATAGGTCGTTACACCTGGATGGTGTGTACGAGCCTATCTGGCACTTTGAGTGTGTACAGCTTGTAAAGCAAGTTGTTGTGCCAGACCTTGTCGAATCAAAGACTTTTGCGACATCAAAGAAAAGAGCCCTTGTACCAATATGTTTAGGGTGATTTAGGCCTTTTAGGATATGTTCCGTTAGGCGGAAGGTTTCGTAAAGGTAAAAAAAGGCACCGGTAGTCTCAGAGAATCTATTTCGTCGCAGATTCGGAACGGACGGTGAAACTGTCGGGCGACCGACGGTTCAACTTTCCTGCTGCTAATTAGACAAAAAATGCAGCCAAACGTGCTTTCGACCGATACCGATCAGAATCAAACCGAACCCTACTTTGACGCCTTCAGCTAAAAGTCAAGTTGTTTAACACATCTGACATTGTGAGTGAAGTTTTTGCTGTAATTGACTGTTCTGGAGGAACAGCTGATGTGCTGGTAGAAGCTACATTCTGAAAAACTTGAGTATCATTTTCATTAATTGATGGGTTATTATTTGTATTTAATTGTTTGTGTGTGTTTTTCCTACAGACTCTCCAACCACTGAAACGGCACTGGTAAGTCAAGTGACCTGGTCGCGGACAATTTTTACATATTTTCCAAAACTCACTTTTGCAAAACGGTCATCGACAGAAAGAGATTTAAAAATAGAACACTCAATTTATGATTTTGCTTACAGGATAAACACTGGTTATTAGCTGACGCAGCTGATGGAGCCTGGGATGCAGAAGCAAGAAAAGACTTAGACCTTTAAATATTTTGGCGTTTTTCATTTTTAATATCCGACTTTGTAGAATGACAGGTTTCGAAGACAGCCCTGTTGCGTAGAAACTTATAAAAATCTTGTAGAGTAGGGTGATACTTCAGATCATTCCTATATTCTTCCCATCTCCTAGTCGTAGCATTGTCAAGCTTAGTTGAAGCCAAGTGTATCCCATTTATATGTGCATTCACCCAGCGTTTTGAGTGCTTGTAAGTTTTTAGAAATAGAATCAATTAAATTGCGCTAACCCTTATCAGTTCGATTCAATATTAAAAAGGCATTTTAAATGTTGGTTAATTAGTAAGCGCGTGTTATCATATCTCTCACACAAGAGCCGACCAAGCAATATCATAAGTATCCGCAGAGACAGAGACT